TTCATGAATGGCATTTGCAGATGTAGCCAGAGTTAGCATGAAACTGGGCAACCCTGGTGTGACAACACTGATCTCTTTACCAGCATATTAATTTTGAAATATCCCATGAGTCATAGACATTAGGACTATTAAATTGTTCTCTTTTAGAATAACGCAACCAGACCTTGTGCAGGGAGGTTGATGTATTCTGGGACAAGAGGATTTCTCATTATCTGACATTTGTGTTTCTTGCCTTGTTTGTGTCTTTTCTTGCTCTGAAAGGTGATGCCTCTGCTCTCCTTTAACTTGGATCTCTGGAACCTGAGTCTTGTTCTCAAGATCCTCAAATATTATGGTTAGTTCTTACTAACTTTCCACTTCCCCAGCATTGCTTCTTGGCTTTCCAGGCATACTGAGAAGCACCAAACATACCTTCGACAGTAAGCGTGGAGGAATGGAAGGAGCACAGGAGTCTGGGTAGGAGGTTCTTATAAAGGGCAGCTGTGGTTCTGATTAGACAGGATTTCTTTTTGTGCTAGGATCAGGACCATCTTGATAGGCAGAAGGACACTGAACTCGGTCTCAGGGAAAAGCTGATAGGTCATGGTGACGGCAGACAGGACCACATGGGCATGCAGACAGTGGCATAGGCTGGCCTGAATGTGCAGGCAAGTGTGTGTGAGCATGTGCATCGGGGGGCCTATTGGCATTCCTAGAAGGTAAGTTATGGGTGAGTGGAGGGATGGGTGAATGAGGCTGGAGAGCTGGCAGGGACGAGGTCATTCATCCAATTAATTCACCCAACATGTTGCAAGCTAAGTGCCAGGCAATGTAAAAGACATCGAGAGTACAGCAATAAACAATGCAGACACAAACCCTGTCATCACGGAGCTTGCAATCCAGGAGCAGACACAAGCAATAAATGAGATGCATGTTAGGAGAAGTCAGCCCCGAGTCTCAGCCCCACCTCGGCCGCCCACTGCCTATAGACCGGGGGCAAGCAGCCTAAGCACCGTGCATGGAGGTAACAACACACACTCACTGGGACTGATGGGTGCGTCAGCCCTGAGTAGAAGAAAAGGCCCAGGACAGCATGTGACAGGGATTCTAAAATGTGGTGACCTTTGGTACGTCATGATGTGGGGGTGGCAGCAGAAATTGTTTCATTTGCCACACTTGAGTGTTAGGAGCCAAGAGGAACATTTCCTGTTTTTTTGTTGTTGTTGTTGTTGTTGTTGTTGTTTGTTTGTTTTTGAGATGGAGTCTCACTGTGTTGCTCAGACTGGAGTGCAGTGGTGCAATCTCGGCTCACTGAAACCTCTGCCTTCCAAGTTCAAGCAGTTCTCCTGCTTCAGCCTTCCAAGTAGCTGGGATTACAGGTGCCTGCCACCACGCCTGGCTAATTTTTGTGTTTTTAGTAGAGGTGGGGTTTCACCATGTTGGCCGGGCTTGTCTTGAACTCCTGACCTCAGGTGATCCGCCTGCCCCTTGGCCTCCCAAAGTGCTGGGATTACAGTATGAGCCATGGCACCCGGCATCCATTTCCTGGTTCTTTGATTTCAGAAATGTCCCAAGTCTTCTACACTGAGTTATATTTTGAAGAAAAAAAAAAAAAAACCCATTTCCTCTTCTTATTGTGAGTTATTGCCCTAAATGTGTATTTTTTCAAACGTTGTTTTAAAATTTAATATACTAGTTCAAGTATTTCTCAAATAAGCTAAGTCGTTTTTAACCCTAATTTCTTTTTTAATTTGTGGCAAAATACGCATAGCCTGAATTTTTCCCATTTTAGCCATTCTTATGTGTTCAGTTCAGTGGCATATGCTGTTGTGAAGCCATCTCCAGAACTTTTCCGTCTTCCCAAACTGAAACTCTACCCATGAATCAACTCCCGTTTCCCCTCCCTAGCCCCTGGCAGCCCCCGTTCTACTTTCTGTCTCTAGGAATCTGATGACTCTAGGTACCTCACAGAGCAGAGTCATCCAGCATTTGCCCTTGTGTCTGGTGTACTGCTTCCAAGTTCATCTGTGCTGTAGCATATATGTATGTTAAGGCTCAAATCTGAAGTGCCGGGACTATCAGGGCTGTAGGCCTGACCCTCGCAGGAAGGGTCGAAGACTCCAGCAGATGACAGGGTAGAGGAAGTGAGAAAGTTGTGGCTAAGAGCACCTCTAACATTACAATATGTACCCATCAGAGGGAGACTTGTCCCCAGGCACTGTGAGAGTCTATGGGAGATTTGTTCCCAGGGTCTAGCAAGTAGAACCCGGAGCCAACCTGGGTGTGTCTTTCAGTAGCAAGGAATTGTGAACTGTCTTCCCGAGAGGGGTCACCCCCCCAGGGTTTCTCAGTGAACTTTGGGAGGCAGAGATCATCGCCTGAAATTGTCTCAAAAAAGTAAGTGCTAAACCAAAAGAGGTCTTTGCACAAACAGAGCACAGTACCAGGGGAAACCATGCCAGTCTTTGACTTCACTGGCGTAACCAGGCACAGCAGTCCCCAGACTCAGCAGCTGCTAGCTCCTATCTCATGTGACACCACCTGAATGCACTCACCACTAGGCCAGGGAGAAGTAGGTGCCTCTGCTCCCAGACGGTTAAGTGGTGTCAAGGAAAATGGAGAATGTGCTGGACTGGTCCTGAGTGGCCTGTGCAGGACACTGGCTCCACGTCAGTGGACCTCGCTAGGCTCCTGGAGCTGGGTTATATTGATCCGTTCTGAGGGTGGACCACAACCCTCAGATCCTTTGAGATTTCAGGAAATCAGAAGCTGAGGGCATTACTTTCTTTCCTTGAGGTGGCCCGTAACTTGGGTGATTTGGAGGGTGACGATGATGAATGCCATCAAGAGTAATTCCCTGCGTTTGACCCTCCTTGAGTCCATTCACTTTCCCTGGGGCAGGAGAACAATGGTGGTGCTTATAGGTGCTGAGGACTCACTGGGTGCCAGCAGCCCCCCCAAGCCCTTCCCAAACAGTCAGCTTTACTCCTCCCATTTCCCCAGTGTGGCTGCTGCTCCCACTTGACAGAGGAGAGTGAAGCTCTGAGAGGCCCCATCACAGGACTGTGGCTGGCCCGGCTGGGACTGGACCCTGGTCTGCCTGTCTCGGGGTCCCCAGCTTGGTTGAATGATGAGATGACTCATGGCCTCTCCAGGTCAGCCACAAAAGTGGGCGTCAGTGCCACTTCCCAGAGGCCCCAAGGGGTCATAAAGTCCAACCAGCTGTCCCAACAAAGCTATTTCCAAATCCTTGGGGACAGGAAGGCTATCCAGAGAGGCCCTGGCTGAATGGCCATTGGGTCAGAGTGCCTCTCAAAGGAGGATCAGGGTCTTGGTTCCTCTTGCCTCTGCCAGCAGCTTTGCCACACCAAGCAAATCGGCAGAACCGGGCCTGGAGCTTCCTGGTGGAGGGTAACGCTTTCCTCCAGTTGGGTCCTTTCCTTTCTGCAGCGGAATCTGTATTCAAGCTGCAGCCCCAGCAGGGGCTCACGGCTCAGGGCAGCGCCAGGCTGTGGAGCCCTGGCCATAGGTGCTGGCTTGTCCCCAGAGCACTGGATGAGGCAGGGGAGGAAGGCGTCAGCTTGGTACTTTCTTCCCCTTTGACATTTGGTGCCCAGCCATGATGATGCCTCAGCTGCTCCTCCATGACATGATGAAAAAGAGGCAGAATAAGGAGGAGGCATCCTGATCATGTGAGGAAAGGGAGTGAGCGAGTGTTCTTTGTCCCAAGAGGATGTCGGTGTTTGCAGGGCACAGGCACCGTGCCCACCAGCCCCGGCTCCACTTACCCTGGGTAATGGAGGGCTAGTTCCAGGACCAATAGTTCTGCACTTCTGAAAGCATCCACCTGACTTTATTTACGGCTGCTCTGTCCACCTCCAGAGACAGGCACAGGGTAGATGCTGGTAAATACCCCTTGAATCGAATCAGAACTTTCTTGTCTTTGTGCCCACAACTTTTCTGCACCTCTAGACCTATCTTCTGGCATCCCTGATGTGGAGCAGTTGGGCGGTCCCAGGGATTCCCAGATCTTCTGAAAATAAATGATTCCAGGAAAGCCGGCAGGCATCTCCGATGGAGGGGGCCACTTGGCCAGTGGTGACCTCCGTCCAGCTGGCACAGGGTGTGACTTGGACATCACTCTTGATTTATGGAAAAATAATCTACGAGTACCCTGGGCGGGTCCTATGCAGGCTCTGCCTTGTGGAAGTGACTTTGCATTTCCAAAGAGACTTGGAAACATTGTTCCCCATTGTCCCCGCTTATGAAAAATGGCCATTTTTTGTGAAGTAAGTTATTTCAAAACAAGGGCAGGGAATGGAATGTGTGTCCGTGTGTGCATGTCTTCTCAAAAAGGATTGGATCTTCTCAACCCAGTGCTGACCTTCAGCTTCATGAGGAAGTTATTTGAAGCTCAGTATTAAGCTGAACTGAATACAGTAGAACTGATCCTGAAACCAGCTGCTAAAACTGGTTACCCGACACATCCGTTTTCTTCTTTTTCATTTGACCAGAAAGCACTTTTGAAGTGTTTGATTTGGTCGTTTGCTGGAAGGGCGGCATGTGTACCGGAGTCAGGAGTCCTGGGTTGCCGTCTGGGCTGAGCCTTTCCTTCTCATCTGTGAAATGAAGCTGGCAATCCTTGCCCTGTCTGCCCCACAGGAAGTTTGTGACACTCAAGTGAGAAAATGCATATTGAGGTCCTCTGTCAAGTAACATGTGTTCCCATCAGTCACTTAATACACATTTACTGGGCACCTACTATGTGCACAACTCAGTGGTAGATGCTGAAAGGAATATAAGCATTTGTCTCTATTACCGTCTCTGGGGCTGGACTTTATAAAATGTCATCTAAGCTGCCATGTGCTTCCACATACCTGACCCCTCCGGAGAGACCCAGGCCCCATCCGACCCTGGCTGGTGAAGCCACTAGTCTGCATGACATGGCTTTCCCTAGCCTGGGCTTATTCCAGAAAGGAGTTTGCTGAAGGTCTGTTACTCTTCTTTGTGCCTCTGCTAAGCTTTCCCAAGAACCGTTGTTTTCTGGACCGAGATATAGGACAGAGATTGAGGCCGCTCTTCCTCAGCTTGCGTCTGCACAACATCACCAAAGGTAAGAGGTAAGCCCTGACCCAGGTGAGCATATCCACGGGAAAGCTGCTGGGCACCTGCCCACCCCTCAGCCACTGCCAGGGGAGCCCCACCTGATGTTTCCAAGGGAATCAGCTGAAACATGGCATTCCCACTTCTAATCTGTGTGACTTGGGGAAAGTCATGTAGCTGCTTGGTCTCACTTTCTCCATCTGTAAAATGGGGGTAATCGGAGCTCTGATGAAATCTGATGATGGGGCTTGTATCTTGTGAAGCAGTGCACAGCTGCCAAGGGCTGTTTTGTTGGCATTGAATTGATTGAATTGTGTGTCCTACCTCTTCACATGGTTCGCTTCTAGGCCCCTTGTTCTGCAGTTTGGGAGGAAACTCTGGATCTGTGCTCCATCCAGGCTTGTGCTCCCTTAGCCTCATGCACTGGGCACAGGGGATGGCACCTGTCACTCGGAAAGAGGAAAGACATATTGGGGAGCATGTTATCAGCAGTCCAAGAGGCCACCCATGAGATCTTTGCATCTGAAAGGACATCTGAGAACATTTTCAAAGCCGTTTCCAGCTATCCAGATATAATAAGTAGCTCTAGAACTCAGGAATGGTTGATGGAGTCAGGTAGTTTTGTCCAAGTTGCTTCTAAACATTCTAGAAACACTGATTGCCTGATTCAAACCTCCTTTGCCAGGCAGGATGGCAGCCAGGGGGCTGTGAATGTTGGGGTGAGGAATGGTTGCAGGGGAACACTGTAACTTTCTCCCAGGGATCTAGGAAGGGAGATCTAAGAAATAAAAACAAAATAAAATAGAAAAAATATATAGAAATTTTAATTGGATCTATATGCAGCCTAAATAACTTCTTCCTTTTTGCTTTGTAATTTTTTGGACAATATTGTGAGAACCGAAATATCTTTAAAAAATAAGGATGACTGGTCAAAGCTAACCTTCGAGGGCCAGTGATGGCTTTTCCTTTAACAGTAGTTCTTAAGGTACCTTCCAGGGTTCACTGGGCAGCAATATCTTCTTGCAAGATTGCTGAGAGTATATTTCATTCAAAATTATATAAATTACACTTAAAATCATTAATATGTAGTATAGATTTTTTAAAAATTAAAGTTGAAATGGCCATTGAATTTATTCATTCTTTGGAAGTTTATTTGTATACTTTTTTTTTTTTTTTTTTTTTTGAGATGGAGTCTCACTGTCCCCCAAGGCTGGAGTGCACTGGTGCAATCTTGGCTCGCTACAACCTCCATCTCCTGGGTTCAAGTGATTCTTCTACCTCAGCCTCCTGAGTAGCTGGGATTATAGGTGTGCGCCACCATGCCCAGCTGATTTTTGCATTTTTAGTAGTGACAGGGTTTCACCATGTTGACCAGGCTGGTATTTGTATAAGTTTTTTTTTAAGAGAATTGATTTGAAATACAAAAGTAATTGACTCTGAACATAACCACAGTGACTCTGAGGAGTTTTATTTCCACTTCGTAAATCAAATCTTAAAGGAGACCATCCACCCTTTTCTCTTCCCTCAGCTCCTGACTTACTCCTTTTCCTTTCTGTAAATGTGACTTTTGAGGCTCTGGTGTGAATAAAATGAAAAAATGTTCCTTTTGTGTTTCTTCCAAGGCAAGGATCTGGAGGAGCTGCAGGACCTTAACTTCTTCCCAGAGTCGTGGCTGAACCAGGTTACAGCCTACCATTACCACGCAGTGAGTTGCCTGCTCTGCAAGGAAACAGTTGTTGAGATGTATTGCCTCTCTGACTTTGTTTTTTTTCTGGAGACGTGTTTCACATTTGAAACCTTTAGACCCCTGAGGTAAGGACATATCTGGATTGTCCTCCAGGGAAACTGGGGAGAGCAGTGCCTGGGAAGGAGAGAAGGGAGAAGATCCAGACTTGGAATCTGGGTATATTCCAGCACCCGCCATATGCATTTTTGTTCTTGATACAGATTAACAAATGTTGGGACCAAATTACTCTTCTTCCAGTAATAAATGAGCATGTCTCTCTTTGTACACCCTCAGCAACATAGAACATTTAAATTTCAAATTGCTTTTGTTAATTGAGAAGGGAACAACGGCCTCTCATTTTTTAATGTGCATTTCCTTTATTACTGGTAGCTGGGGATGTTTTTCCATGCAGCGTTTCCCCTTTGTGAATTGTCCATGCAAACTGTTGTACTTCTTATGTGTTTTCAATCTCGCGTTTTAGAGATGAAGAAGGGCAGTGTGTGAGTTCTGAAGATGTATGAGTCACTAGTTAAAATTCAGTCCCGCTCCACAAATACCTATTGTCATGTGCAAACCACAGTGCTCAGCGCTGCCCACACCATAGATCTTGACTCCGTGGAAGGAGGTGCTTTTCTGGGACATAACTCAGGACTGTGCTGTAACAGAGGAGCACAGGAGTGACAGAGAGGAGACAGTCTGTGCAGACGTCTCGGGAAGTCTCCACCTCACTCTTGGTCCTCTGAGCCTGCCCACCTCCTTCCTTTTGTTCTCTGCTACCAACGCCATCCTCTCGAATTCCGCTCCTCCCCCTCCCCAGCCCTCACCTTGGAGCCTGCCATGAGGGTTCTTACTTGCTCTTGATTTTGTGACCGTGGTCATCTCTGCCCTGTGTGCACCTTTTATTTCCCAGATGAGACTGCTCAGGTACTTTTCTGTCTTCTTGCATCCTCTGAAAGCACCACACGCAGGACCTGACACAGCAGGGTTTTAATAAATGTCTGGGAACTGAATGAATGACTGAATGTGCACCTAGAGGCAAAAGTCTTTTTCAAACATAGTGAGGGGTGCAGAGAGCAAGGAAGAGACATGGAGCTGAAGAGAGGCACTTGTGTCTGGGGGATCCCACTGTGGTCAGCTGTGTGCATTTTCCTTTCAGCTGGAGAACGGAGGCGACATGGCTCACCTGAAAGATCTTAACACTCAGGCTGTGAGATTTGGACTGCTCTTTAACCAGGTACTGAGACCTGCACTCGAACAAGGGAAAGAACTGTTCCTCTCTTGCTCAGTTAAGAACCTCTGGAGGGTGGCTGCGATCACTTCTGACTCCTGGTAGAAAGGTCAGGGGACAGAAGAGGGAATCGTGGGTGTCTCTCCTGGATGCTCATCAGCTCCCAGGAAATAAAATTCACAAGGCAGGGGCTTGGGACAGGCCGTTTAGTAATTTCCCCACTAACGGGACCAGCGGTCCTGGTGGTACTGGGATGGAGGAGGTGCCCTGGGATGCAGGACTTCAATTCTAAAGCCAGGAAAGGCCAAGGCAAACTGGGAAGGGTTGGCCATCCTATATCCCACAAACATCAACAGTTGCAAACAGTGAAAGACTCCACGCCAAGTCCGTGTTTAAGGTTATAGGGGTGAACTCAGTCTGGGCAGCTATTCTGATGGATCTCAGAATAAAACTGCAGTGGGTTAAGGAACGTGATTGCAAGGCATCTTGACACTTAGTGACCAGGAGAGGTTGGGGTTGCTGGCTGTGCTCCATGCTGGGTTCCTTGTGATGGAAATAATTCTCCAGGAAATCACTGGTCTCCTTTGATGATTTCAAGGCACCCCAGCAGTGATCTCAAAAGAATTCATGGTCTAAGAACTAGAGGCCTTGACTCTATCATCAGAGGGTCCCCCTCTGAGTCATCCCTGGATAGGCTGGCTCAGCCTTTTGGTTTCAGAGACGTAGTGCCTAAGTTGGCAGACGTGGATCACAGAGCCAGGATTTTCTGCAAGTGCTGAGTGGCTCTTGGGCCCATCACATTGAAACCATGTGCTTTGTTTCAAAGGTCTATAGACTACAGGGCATCTAAGAACATACCTAACCTCCTTCTTTTCCTCACTAAGGAACAGAAAGAGTAAATAATATTGCCACTGTTCAGTAGCTACTGCTAAGTCTACAACTAACTTCTACTAACTGTACCAACTGTTAGTAGTGAGAGCAAGGGGAGGAGGGTGTAAACACTCCAGAAGCACTGATTACCTGATCTCAAACCTTCTTTGCCAAGCAGGATCGCAGCCAGGGGACTGTGAACATTGGGGGTGAGGTGTGGTCTGGGGGGAACACTGTAACTTTTGCAAACTTTATGAGTTCCCAGGGACCTGGGAAAGAAGATACAGGGAAAAGTATGGGGAAAAACATGAAAATAGAAGAAATTTTAAAACAGAGCTGTATGCAGCCTAAACATCTTCTTCTTTTTTGCTTTGTAACTTTTTTTTTTTTTTTTTTTTTTTTTGAGATGGAGTTTTGCTCTTGTTACCCAGGCTGGAGTGCAATGGTGCGATCTCGGCTCACCACGACCTCCGCCTCCTGGGTTCAGGCAATTCTCCTGCCTCAGCCTCCTGAGTAGCTGGGATTACAGGCACGTGCCACCATGCCCAGCTAATTTTTTGTATTTTTAGTAGAGACGGGGTTTCACCATGTTGACCAGGATGGTCTCAATCTCTCGACCTCGTGATCTGCCCGCCTCGGCCTCCCAAAGTGCTGGGATTACAGGCTTGAGCCACTGTGCCCGGCCTGTAACTTTTTTATAATATTGTGAGAACTGAATTTTTTTTTTTTTTTTTTTTTTTTTGAGACAGAGTTTCGCTCTTGTTACCCAGGCTGGAGTGCAATGGTGCGATCTCAGCTCACCGCAACCTCCGCCTCCTGGGCTCAGGCAATTCTCCTGCCTCAGCCTCCTATGTAGCTGGGATTACAGGCACGCGCCACCACGCCCAGCTAGTTTTTTGTATTTTTAGTAGAGATGGGGTTTCACCATGTTGACCAGGATGGTCTTGATCTCTTGACCTCGTGATCCACCCGCCTCGGCCTCCCAAAGTGCTGGGATTACAGGCTTGAGCCACTGCGCCCGGCTGAGAACTGAAATATTTTTAAAGAGTAAGATGGATTAGTCAAAGCTGACCTTTGGGGCCACTGATGGCTTTTCCTTTAACAATCATTCTCAAGGTAGACTCCAGGGTTCACTGGGCATTGGAATCTTCTTGCACAATTGTTCAAAGTATATTTCATTCAAAATCATATGTTACACTTAAAAGCATTGATATGTAGTATAGATTTTTTTTTAACTGAAGTCAAAATGGCCATCCAATTTGAAGTGAATTTATTCCCAGGATTCAGTTTGGCTTTGGAGTGAATTTATTCCAAGGATTCCACTACCAAGGATTTCAGTTTGGCTTTTCCCGTGTTTCCTAGGCTAGAATTGCTATGGTGTTTTCACCTTCAGATCAGTTCCTGAATGAGTGACGTTTGTTGTTGTTGCTATTCTTTGTTTTACCATGTCCTCTTGACTTTCTTTGTTTGTTTTTGAGATAGAGTCTTGCTCTGTCGCCCAGGCTGGAGTGCAGTGATGCAATCTCGACTCACTGCAACCTCTGCCTCCTGGGTTCAAGCAATTCTCCTACCTCAGCCTCCTGAGTACTTGGGACTACAGGCACACACCACCATGCCCAGCTAATTTTTTTTTTTTTTTTTTTTTTTTTGTATTTTTAGTAGACACGGGGTTTTGCCCCTGTCTCTACTAAAAGACATTAGCCAGGTTGGTCTCGAACTCCTGACCTCAGACGATTCACCTGCCCTGGCCTCCCAAAGTGCTGGGATTACGGGCATGAGCCACTGCACCTAGCTGACTTTGAATACTAAATATTTTACCTCCTTCACTTTGTTGTTTTTCTTTCCTGATTTAGGAGTATACAACTTATTCAAAAAAGATTGCTGTATATGGATTCTTCTTTGAGATAAAGGGACTCAAACATGATACTGCCTCTTACAGTTTTTACATGCAGGTAAGGGTAGAATGCATGAAAGTTATGTCTCTAAAACAGTCTTTTAGATTTAGAGTCAATCCATGTTGAATTAATAATAATTGATTCATCATTAATTACTAATCGATATGAACTGTATTGTAAGTGCTAACCACGCTCGTATATGTGCTGCCTTTTGATTTTTATAACAATCTTGGGAAGTAGGTACTGGTAGCCCACTTAGCAGATGACAATCTGAAAACTGAGTGTCTGAAAACTGAGTAGCCTCTGTTGGTAAAGCCAGGATTAGATTCTAGTCTTCCGTCTCCCCATGTAGGGCTCAATTCATCTTCAGTTTATACATATAATTCAGTTATTCTCCCATGAAGATAACCGGTAGTGCCCCCAACTTGGAGAGGGGGTAATTTTGTTTAGTTGCGAAGTGGGCTATGGAGGTGCTTGGCTTCTCTGCAGTGCTCCTGCTGGACCTTAGGAGAGGCAGGAGAATGCCATGTTTAGGAGTGGAGAGTCCGCAGGCCAATGGCCTTCAAGCCGCAGGATCTGGGAAAGTGCCAGGAATCCTCCTCCGTGCAGTTTCCCCACCTTTGAGACAGAGAAGGTAACAGGACGTACCTCTCCAGGTTGTTGTGAGTTTCAGTGTGTTCATCTGTGTCAAGGGTGGCTTGGAACAAGCTTGACACATAAAGCACCATCTGCAGTAGGGAAGATGAAGCTGGTGATGTGGACGATAACAATGACAAGTAAAATGAAGGATCACTGTGTTCCACTTAAGATTTGCTTGTAAGTCTCTCTTCTCTAATCTGTACACTTTTGGGAGGCCATCTCTTATGCATCTTTTTCTTACTGCTGTCAATCACAGTACCAGGAACACAGAGAAGCTTTATTTTTTTCACTTTTCTTTATTTTTTGAGATGCAGTCTCACTCTGTCACCCAGGCTGGAGTGCAGCGGCACAGTCTTGGGCCACTGCAACTTCTGTATAAAGGAGCTTTAAATGACTGACTGACTGACTGACTGAATGAATGGATGGATAAATGAAGAAATGAATACACGAATGAAGAAACCAGAGTTTTAGTCCAGCTTTGCTAAGTACCTCATGCGTGCCCCGGAGCAAGTCATTTCTCTTCCTCAGCTCCTGGTCTCCACTGACTCAGGCGTCTCCCTAAACAGTGAGTTCTTCTGGTTGGAAGAGATGAATTCTGTGACAATACCAGTCCAAACACCCTTATGAGTGTTACATTGGTTTTTTTTTAATTCTGGCAAAGCCATCCTAAAGCTTGACTTAATGGTGTTTTTCTAGATTCGCCAAAGTCCAGGCCATGAGCCAGTGGTTTATGTAGGGTGAGGGCTCAAATGAGAACTGACTCAGCAGCAGCCACTTTTAGGAGATGGTGCCAATTGGGAAATGGCCTCTTGCTGCCCTCACTTATTATGTACCAGGGTCTATGTGCCAGGCGCCGGCTTTCGTGAACTCTGGGCCACCCCGATTGCAGTTCCACCTGAGGTGGGTCACTCTCTTTGCAGAGAATAAAGCACACAGACCTGGAATCCCCTTCCATGGTCTCCAAGCACAAGCCTGTCAGCCTGCGAGCGGTGCGCCTGGTGAAGTATGAGATCAGAGCCCGGACCCTGGTTGACAACAAGTGGCAGGAGTTCGGGACAGACGAGGTCTTGCAGAAGTTCGACTTGGCCAAGCCATCCTGCAAAAGTCGTGCAAGTGTCCATGCCGTCTTTCGCTTTTATTTCCTTTTTGTTCTTTCTCTCTCCCATGCTTTGGGGATCACCAGCTTCTAATCTCTAGTGCCCCACACTGGAGATCCCTGGAAAATCAGGCTCAGTTTCTTAAGAATTATCACAGCCTCAAATCATGCTAAAGAGAAATCTCTTCTAGGATGAAAAACCAAGGAAACACAGAACTATAACCCAAATCAGACTGCTTGGTTTGGGTCACACCAGGTGTATTTTATAAGCATCAAAGGGGTTTTTTGGTTGTTGTTTGTTAGTTTTTTGAGATGAGGAGGCTCCGTGGAGTGTATTTGCCATCACTGCCTCCACTGATGCCTGTGAGTGACCCCTGAAATCCACAGCCCAGACCCACCTGCCTCAGGCTCACTGGGGAAGGACGGGACCCGTCTACTTCAATAGGCGGTTGCCAGCATCCAGGCAGATCCACTGCCTTGCCTGGCTTCTGACCAGAATAAGACTTTGCTACAAGCCAGTGAGTAATTCCCAGTCCTGACTGCACATCAGAATCATCTGAGCCTTTTATTGCTCCCAAGGCCAGAGCCCCACCCACATCACCAGAGCAGATACTCCATGGGTCAGACCTGAGTATCAGTATTTTTAAAAGCTTCCAGGTTATTTTCTATGATATTAGAAATCCCAGTGACAATTTCCTTTGTGGGGGCGAGGGAGAGGGACTGGGAAATTAAGGGAGAACATTAAGAAGGAGATTTCTGTGGGCCTGGAAATACTTGTCTTGATCAGGGTGATGGTTACACAGGAGTGTTTACTTTGTGAAAATTCATCAAGCTGTCCTCTTAAGATTTGTGCCCGTGATTGTGTTTAAGTTATACCTAATTTATTGGCAGTTTATTTCAAATACCCTCTGCAGGCCATTCTGATGTGCAACCATAGCTGAGAACCAGCAGCTTCTACAACTGTCAGGCCTTCCTTTTTCTCCTTCTGGGGGACAATTGTGTTTATCTTAAAAGTCCCATTCACCTTGTTTTGTTTCATGTTTTAGACCTTGAAAATCCAAACTGTGGGCAGCCCAATCTATGCAACTTTTGCATTCATCTTCCCACCATCTTGACAGTTTCCAGAAGAATCTATGGGATTTCCCAAGACACGGACCTGCATAAAAGAAAATAAAATGGCGTGAAAAGGTACACTCAAGCATTCCGTGCCATTCGTAGTTAGTGATGGTCTCATTCGAACTTTTGTCCATGTTTGTATCATTTGAGGGTGAAACGTCCGGACCTGAGAGTCCATTTACCAGCCCTGACCGACAGCACCCCTAGTCCAGCCATGACGTTTGGCCTCTCCCAGCACCTTGGGAGGACCGGTCGTGGCAACAGACTCTAGCCGGGAGCACGGAGGACATCCTTAGCTGCAGCCCCGCCCGCCACACAGAACTGCCTGCCAATTGTCCCTGGCAGTTTGGGTTCAGACAGAACAAGAGGTAGTGGGGAAGGCAGTGATTCCTAAGTGACTTATTTATTATCCCACCTTTTTTTTTTTTTTTTTTTTTTTTTTTTTTTTTTGAGACAGAGTTTCGCTCTTGTTACCCAGGCTGGAGTGCAATGGCGCGATCTCGGCTCACCGCAACCTCCGCCTCCTGGGTTCAGGCAATTCTCCTGCCTCAGCCTCCCGAGTAGCTGGGATTACAGGCACGCACCACCACGCCCAGCTAATTTTTTGTATTTTTAGTAGAGACGGGGTTTCACCATGTTGACCAGGATGGTCTTGATCTCTCGACCTCGTGATCCACCCGCCTCGGCCTCCCAAAGTGCTGGGATTACAGGCTTGAGCCACCCCGCCCGGCTTATCCCACCTTTTAAACTGAAGCTCTGCAGTTTGCAAAGAGGGAAGTAGAGAGCCTCCCTTCCCACTTGATTCATTTGCTATTGCAGTGCCACAAAGCACCACAAATTTAGTGACTTAAAATAACACATTGGTTCCTTCAGTCTTCGTGGTTGAGGAATCCAGGCATAGCTTCACTGCGTCCTATATTCAGGGCCTCATAAGACTACGGTTTAGTAGCAGGCAGGCTGTATTCTCATCTGAAGACATGGCCAGGGAGAATTCACGTCCAAGCATATTCAGGTTGTTGGCAGATTCATTTTCCTGCAGCTGAATGACCAAGGGCCCCACTGCTGCTGGCGTAGAGAGAAGGCTGCACAGGCCCGAGTGGCCCCCTGCAGTTCCCTGCCATGTGACTCTCTACAGACATTTCAAATCATGGCTATTTTGCTTCTTCAAGGCCAGGGGAAGAATCTCTCACTCCAGTCTGCTTAGACAGCATCTTCTATAACATAAGGTGGTAATCACAGGACTGACAGCCCCTCCCCTCTGCCCTGCTCTCCGGACTAGTAAGTCACATGTTCCACCCACACCCAAGGGGAGAGAATTACACAAGGGTCACCGGAGGGTGTGTCCACCACACTGTATTACCCATTGTCTTTGGAAAAGTGATGGAGCGTCGATGACGCTATACAGTCAATGAGGTGGGTAAGTTTAGTTTAATAATCCCCTTAGAGTCAGACACAGGCTTGGGGAGCCTCCTTCCCAGCAGTGGAACCCAACATCCTGTGCAGCGTGACCTGGCAGGGAGGTGCAAAGGCACTGGGTGTTGGGAGCCCGTTGGCAGGTTCTCCCCCCCCTTCCTCAAGCCCTGCTTCCCAGGTTGCTCACCAGCTTGCTTCTGGCCAGGTCCAGTCAATGGGAGGCGAGGATGGGAGCTTGGAAGACAGAGAACAGGAGAAGCCTGGGTAGTTTGCACCCTCTGGGCTCAGGGGCATTTCCTGTAACTGTGCCTCCACCCTCCGCTGCCCAGCTCATGCCCGTCAGCCTCCACAGTGATTTCAGCATCCGTCTGGATGCTGGGGCCCTCTTCTGGTTCTGAGACCACCTCATCCCTTTGTCCCTCCAGGCTTTGGGGCCAGGGGACCTCGTTCATCACCAGTCTCTGGGTTGCCTCATCCTGTTTAGCTTCTTGAGTTTTACTTCATCTGAGAACCAGCTGTCTATATTATACTGATTCTGTGTGAAACCTCACGTTAGTCCCTAATGTAAAGGGTTTTGGTGAGTTGGCAGGTGTGTCTCAGTGCGGCAGATGATTGGATAACGCAGCCTCAATGATTCTTTCCAGCCCTGCAGAGCGGGGACTAGGGTTTACCAGGGGGAGGCAGGCGAGGCACTGGCTCGGGTCTATAACCTAAGGGGGCACCAACACACTTAGTAATACACATAAATAGTATTTAAATTCCATGTTTTAAAACAAAATCAGCACACACACAAATCTGTGATAGAGCTTGGTGAACGGTAAACACACCCACATAACCAGCACCCAGATCAAAAACAAAAAGAACAAAACCAGCACCCCAGACACCCCCAGTAGACCCCCAAGGTGAAAACACGCCGACTTCCATCTCCACGAATTAGTCTGGCCTTTTAGTTCGAGTATGCTACACACAGAATCTGACAGTGCACACTCTTACGTGCCTACGTGCTTCTGTTCAGTATCACATTTAAGAGATTCATCTAAGTTTTCACTGGGAGCCGTAGTTTATTTTCAAATAGCATGACGGTTTCACTTTTTTACTTTTTAAAAACTAAACGTTACTTCAATAAAATCATACATGTCGTCACAGAAAAGTGAGAAAATACAAAGAAGAAAATAAAACGGACTGGGACAGCCATCGCTGAGATGTTTGGTGGATGACCTTCCAGGAGGAATTTTAGGTGCATTTACAGTTTTCTTTCCATTTAAAATGGAATTTGCAGTTTAGAGCCCCATTATTCTCTTGAGAGAGTTAAACAGGATGGAAGGGTATAGTGGCTCATGCTTATAATCCCAACACTGGGATGCTGAGGCAGGTGGATCCCTTGAGCCCAGGAGTTCAAGACCAGCCTGGGCAATATGCCGAAACCCCATCTCTACAAAAGATATAAAAATTAGCTGGGCATGGTGGTGCATATCTGTAGTCCCAACTACTTGGGAGGCTGGGGTGGGAGGGAGGATCACTTGAGCCCAGGTGTTTGAGGCTGCAGTGAGCTGTAGTTGTGCCACTGCACTCTTGCCTGGGCAATAGAACAAAACCCTGTCTCAATTTAAAATATATATATATATATATGGAGGGGGAGTGGGGGAAGGCAGGGAGGTTACACAGCATAACAGGATGATTTCTGGAGTAGGGAGCACGGTATTCGGGGAGGAAGGAGATGATGTATTTGCTTCACCTTCAAATTGTGAGACATCAGAAAAGTCACTTGTCACTTACCTTCCATGACTATCACTATCTTATCTATACAAAGGACATAAATCCACCCCCTGCCTCCCTCTCAGGGCTGTGAGCCTGCAGGCAGCACTGTATGTAAGGTCCCTTTATGGACCAGCCCTTATGTGGATGCCTGGAAACTTGGTATTACTGGCTCAAGAAAAAAATGCAACCTTGTGGCATTTTACCACAGTTTATAGGATAACGGGGATGACAAGAACTAAAAATACTGACAAGCAAATCTGCAGATGTCTAAGAGAGGAGAGGCTGTTTGGAAGCATCTCTGAAACACAAATGATTGCCCACTCTCTAAGGGAAACAACTGTTAGGTAATTGAAATATGCAAACTCATAGTCCAGGAGTTTGCAAGAGTGGGAGGGAAACTTGCAAAGCAGCGACGCCAAAAACGTGTCTAAGGTGAGCGGTGAAGAAGAGCAGGGAATGCTAGGGTGGGGCTGCGGTGGGCAGGAGGAAGCCAGTCCCAAAGCTGGTGGGGGGGCTGGGGTGGGCAGGAGGAAGGCAGCCCCAAAGCTGGGGAGGGACTTGGTGACAGGAGGAAGGCAACCCCAAAAGGACAAGGCAAGAACTGAAGGATTGGGCTGCCTCCCCATCTCTTGACCCAGCAACAGGAAGGTACTGGAGACAGTAGGACTTGGGGTGTCGGAGAGGGGCCCTGTGCTTTCATTTCCACCTCCTAATGTACAAGGGGGAAAATGAAGCCCCAGCAAGCTGGAGTGACGATTCCAGTGGGAAAATGCGTACTAAGCACTGTCTCGCTGAATCCTCCCAACCCCATGAGGTAGATGTAGTTTCCACGTCTGATAAGAAGGAAGCTGAGGCTGGGCATGGTGGCTCACGCCTGTAATCCCTGTACTTTGGGAGGCCAAGGTGGGTGGATCACTTGAGGTCAGGAGTTCAAGACCAGCCTGGCCAACATGGTGAAACCCTGTCTCCACTAAAAATACAAACATTAGCTGGGTGTGCTGACACATGCCTGTAATCCCAGCTACTTGGGAGGCTGAGGTGGGAGGATTACTTGAATCTCCTTGGAGGTTGCAGTGAGCCAAGATCATGCCACTGCACTCTAGCCTGGGTGACAGATCTAGACTCCATCTCAAAAAAAAAAAAAAAAGAGCCCAGATAAAGTAAATTTATTCATCCAAGACTCCTCAGAGTTTGGGAGTCCAACTCAGGCCTGGCCACAGGCCCATCTGTCTCTATTTCCCTCCACCCCCCGATGGCCCTCAAAGAAGAGGGGAAATGTTTTAGGGTGTTTAATTCAGGTGTTTATTGAACATCTATCTGTTCGAAAGCAATGTGCACAGAGCATCTGTTGCATGCCAGGCCTCACTGTGCAGGATGTGTTCCATGTGATACCGCATTCGACTGTGATGGGGGCAAGGGTGGGAGGGTGACACATACCTGGGCCTGGAAGGGTGAGGATGGAGGGAAATGGTACACAGGTGAGTGCCAGCCCCATGGCTCCAGGACTGAATGTGCATCTGAATCACCTGCGATCTTGTGCACGTGCAGATCCTGAGTCCCGACTGAGAGAGGCTGATTTTGAAGTCTGAGAGACACTCAGAAATCTGCGCTATCACAGGCTTTCCTGGGGGATCCTGATGCAGGGTGTCTGTGGATCACGCCCAGAAACTCTGATCTCTGTGTCAGTTCCACTGCAGGGTTTCTTACTGAGCTCCACACACCCAATTGTCATCCTTACCCAGAGCCAAAACAAAATCCAGACAATAACAAAAAAACCTGTGAGTCGATTTCACCCCACTGGCTGATTCAAAGCAAAGCTAAACAAATTTCCTAGAATATGAAATAAACAGAACTTAGCAATGAGACCCCCTCCTGTGGGTGAGCCATAATTCACAGTCCACCCCTTTCCACTAGGGGGCGTGGTCCGCCTCAAAAATTTTAGTGTCAAAAATTAGCAACTTAAAAACTCGTTTTATAGCAGGGAGTCCCCTTGCTTCGTGGTTGAAAGTGAAACTGTACATCCTGGCTGAGGCTCTGTTTATCCAAACATCCATAGTGTGCACGTCACAAAATCTCTGAACTTGAGAAGTGTTCGTCTTGAGATAAAAATTCTTAGGATAATCTTACAAGCTTTTCTTTCAAGGGAGAACTTCGTAGACTCGAATTTTAAAGCACAAAGTCCCAAAGCCCAAAGCAGTGGCCATGAGCACTGGTTAATGAAACATTTTATGTGCTATGTCTGAAATGTCTCTTTCACTTCTCCCGATGCTCACCTTCTGGCTCACCTCCCAGCCCCTCCCCTCCAGCTGGGGAGATGGCCCTGGACTCATTAGGGGCACACCACGTGTTTTGGATTCTAGATTCAAATTGACCTGGGTTTGAATCTCAGCTCTGCCCCTTACCAGCTGTGTGGCCTTAGGCAAGCCATCTAACTTCTCTGAGCCTCAGAGACTGATCTGAGATACACAATCAAACTCATGGTAAAAATTAAGTAAGTTGGTGTGATTTGTAAAGCACCTACCACATAATATGTGCTTTATACAATTTATTCCTTATTGTTTCTCCCTTATTGCTTGGAGTCAAGTAGTACTTGTTAAAGGTCAAAATGGTTACTGTGTGATCTTGGGCCAGTCCCTCTTCCTTCTCTGGGCCTACTTCCTTTTATGCAAAATGAAAAGTTAGAAGACCCAGGTGCTCTCTGCAGTCTTTTCCAGCAGCAATCATAGGATTCTCAAATTCTGTGAGTACGGAAGGACAGATGTGAGGGGTTGAGCACACTTATGATTTAACAAGAAAGGAAACTTTAAAAAGGAACTTTTCTACTTCCCACACTTAAGTAGAAGAAGCAGGGTGATGACAGCAGCCACCATGAAGCCAGAACCGGATGTTCCTGGCCCTGCAGGCTCTCTAGGGTTCCGAGCCTCCCAGTCTTTTCCCAGGCCCCCCACAAGTGGAGCCCCAGGGGCAGGCCGTGCCCATACCTGAGGCCGCCTCAAACTTCTTTCTGGAGGAAACCGCGCTGTGGAAAAGGAAGGTTCCCAAGCTGGGGAAGCGGAGCTCAGCTCTGTATTGATATTATTCTTATCTTCCTCCTTCTACTTGCACGAAACATTTAAATTGAAATAAAATGAAATAAAATTTAAAATTTCATTCTCAGTCACTCTTGCCATGTTTCTTTTTTTTTTTTTAAAACTACCACTTGCAGAGGAGGGCTCACTCAGGCGGTGCTCCCAGAGTCAGCCAAGCCCCGTTTCAGGTGCTCAGTGGACACAATGGCTGGTGGCTGTCCTGTGGGCAGGGCCGATGTGGGACAAAGGGCTCCTGTGGCTGCTCCGCATGACGTTGAGCTTTGTCACTTTGAGTGAGTCATGTGACCTTTGTGCTTTCATTCTTTGACTTTACTCGCGCCACAGATGGACAGCGAGCTGCTGCAGGCCAGGCTTCGGGTGAGGCTGCGAAGGTGAACGAGACATAGTCTGTGCCATCTCCGAGCCCACAGTGTGCGTGGGAAGACAGTTATTAGTGGAATATGCACTAAAGAGTGCCTGGCTGCCCTGAAGAGCACAGCTGCCTGGAGCACAGCTCCCGGCCAGCATGAAGCAAAGAAAGCTGCCCTAGGTCCTGGTGCAAGGGCAAGGCCCAAGGAGAGCCCTCCCAGGGGAAGCAATGCGTAAACAGAGAGCTGGAGCGGGAGTGGGAATTCAAACAGGTTTAGGTGAGGATGCGGAGAAATGACTGCTCATATGCTGCTAGTGGGAGGGTGAAATGGTGCAGCTGCTTTGGAAAATTGGTGGTTCCTCAAACAGTTAAATGTATAGTACCATGTGACCCAGCAATTCTTACCTCTAGTTACATACCCAAGAGAAAATGAAAACATATGTCCACCCAGAAACGTGTACACGGATGTTCACGGCAGCATTATTCACAACAGGCGGAACAGTGGAAATTAGCCAGGAGCGATGGCGTGCACCAACAAGGGCAAGGCGCCTGTGGATAGGGGGTGGTGGTGCATGCTGGTAGTCCCAGCTGCTTGGGAGGCTGAGGTGGGAGGATCACTTGAGCCCAGGAGGTGGAGGCTGCAGTGACCCACAATCACACTACTGCACTCCAGCCTGGGTGACAGAATGAGACCATCTCTTTACAAAAAAAGAAGAAATAGTGCTCACTTTGGTGGCATATATACTAAAATTGGGATGATACAGAGGTTAGCATGACCCCTGTGCAAGGATGACACACAAATTTGTGAAACGTTTCAAAATTTTTATAAATTGTTTTAAATTTTAAAAAGTAAAAGAGGGCCGGGCGCAGTGGCTCAAGCCTGTAATCCCAGCACTTTGGGAGACTGAGGCGGGTGGATCACGAGGTCAAGAGATCGAGACCATCCTGGTCAACACAGTGAAACCCCGTCTGTACCAAAAATACAAAAAATTAGCTGGGCATGGTGGCGTGTGCCTGTTATCTCAGCTACTCAGGAGGCTGAGGCAGGAAAATTGCCTGAACCCAGGAGGCGGAGGTTGCGGTGAGCCGAGATCGCGCCATTGCACTCCAGCCTGGGTAACAAGAGCGAAACTCCGTCTCAAAAAAAAAAAAAAAAAGGAAAAGAGAAAAAGGAAAAGTGGAAGCAACCTAAATGTCCATCAGTGGATGTGTGGGTAAACAAAACATGGTCTGTCTATGCAGTGGAACAGTACTCAGCCTTAAAAAGGAATGCAGGGCTGGCACGTGCTACATGGAAAAATCCTGCAAAGATTATGCTAGGAGACAGAAGGCAGTCACAAAAAAACATGTATCCTGTAACTCCACTCATACAAAATGCCCAGAGGAGGAACATCTACGGACAGAAGGTAGATTTGTGGTTGCTTAGGGCTGGGAAGATAAGAGGATGGTCACTAAAGGGCACAGGGTTTCCATTTCGGGGTGACGAAAATGTTTTAAAATTGACCGACGATGATGGTTGCACAACTCTGTGAATATGCTGCAAACCATTACACTGTACACTTAAGTAGGCAAATTGTATGATACATTAGTTCTATCTCAATAAAACTTTTTTTTTTTTAAGAGTAATTGGGGGCTCGAAAAAGATTCAAGCCCAGACATGTGTAAGAGACACCGGTGCCTTTAAAAAACACAGAAGAGGACCCCAGTGATGAGAGCCAGCCGCAGAGGCTGGAGATGTGGGCAGGTGCGACATCTCTGGATTTTGGTCTCTTTCTCAAGGGCACCTAGTATTCAAGAGTTTCAGGCCTGGGGCTGCCCTGATCAAACCTGGGCTTTGAAAAAGTTGTTCTAGATGCTATTTGTCAACGGAGGTGAGGGGAGCTTGGGCAAGAATGCCAGGGGTCAACACGGTGTGAGATGTGTCGCGGGTGAGCGAAGACGATCCGGGCCAGTGATGGAGGGATGAAAGAATTTACCAAGACCCTTGTAGATAATGAAAGGCAGATTTACTAAAGTATGAAACTATGTTGTGAGAAGGCAATGGGCAGGTCAGCAGAAGAGGAGCTGACTGCAAGGGAACAAAGGCTGGCTGGAGATTTTGTAGAATAATGCTTATGCTGGTTGCCGAAGAGGGCTTAATGCAAGGTTGCAGTGAGCTAACTTGCAGGTGTCTGGTGATAAGTTGAGTGCAGGAGGGCTACCTGTCCTGGACCATGAAGAAAGTCAGGTTAGTGGCTTACCTGCCTCTTGTTTTTGCTTTCCCCAGCTCCCACCAGCCTGACTCCTTTTCCCTAATTAGGACTCCACAAGGAGGACAAGCTGGGAGAGATATAGAGCTCAGCCCTCGCCCCGTCCCAGAGAGGGAGGGAGGATCCCTTAACTTCCCTGAATGATTCGTTAACTTGTCCTGGTCCTGAGCTACCACTGAGGGGTGTGACTGTGGCCCCTTGGGGCAGAAAGCGCCTCTGCTATCATGTATCACAAAGTGGTTGCACCAGTTTGTTTAAAGGCAAGCACTCCCAAAGGACACTGGCTGGTGGCAATGTAAATCGGCACAGCCCTTCTGAGGTCAGTGTGGCAGCACATTAGAAAAGAGCTTAAGATGTTAATTACTGTGTCAGATCATGATAATGATGGCCCCGGTGAGCAACACCTCCCTGTGTCCACACCGTCAACAGACGGAGTCTATTTCTGTATCCTCTCGAGTCTGGGTTGGCCCTGAGGCTTGCTTTGGCCAACAGAGCGTGGCAGAAGTAACATGGTAGCGTTCAGTAGTTTGGTGCTCAAGGTGCCTTGCGGCTTCTGCTCTGGCCTCTTGGAGCCCTGGGACCACGTAGTGCAGGGGCCTCTACTGACCTGCCGGAGACTATGCCGCCACGTGGAGGAGAATCTCAGCCCGCCCACCAGCACCAATTGCTACACATGTGAGTCAGGCCATCCGGAACCTTGCAGCCCAGTCAACCCTCCTGTGGAATGCAGCCTGATGAGTGACCCCAAAAAAAACTCTGCAAAGAATTTCTTCAGCCAACCCTGAGAATCCTAAGAAGTAATTAATTGTTATTTTAAATCACTAAGTTTAGGAGTTTAGGAATGGTTTATTACCCTGCCAGAGCTAACTGAAATACGTACCCTTTTGATGAAGCAAATTTACTTTAGGAATTTATACTTATAAAATCAAAATCCAGAAAATAGGCCACGATTCAGGTACAAAGGCATTCCTTATAGCATTGTTTATAATCCAAAGCATCAGCATGATTTTAGATGCCTAACAGCAGGAATTAAACACAATAGAGTAGATCTGTGCACTAGACAATCATTAAACAGTTTTTGTTGAAGCATCCTAGTGGCACGATTCCCAGGTTATACTGTTAACTGGAAAAATAAAACCATTTTTTAAAGTATGTAAATACGATCCATTAAAATATGCAGATTCTAAATTTAATATAAAATTGATGTGTCCAAAAGCATATGTAACTTAAATTTGATAGTATAAAATTGCTCTCTAATGTGGACGTGATAATTTGTCTTCCTCCCAACATCGGGGAAGCTTGCTGCTGATTTCTGTTCCTGTTGCTAGTGGTGAAGGGCCTTTCACTGACACATTCAAGAGGCTGGTCAATCCTGGCACAGAGCTGATGTGAGTTAAGGCAAAGGAAGCTTCAACCTTTATTTCACTTAGCAGGATTTCCTGGTTTCTAGGCCACCGAGAGACACCTTCTCAGGACTCATTTCTCACTCAACCAAGGGGGCCTGATTTGCTCCCAGACTCCTTTAAGGAGAGAGAAACTTTGGGTGCAGCATCGCAAATGATAAGCAGGAAGCCGGGCTTCTGAGAGTCAGATAGGACTGCAGTCGAAAGCGGGGGCTTGTCATTTGTCTGCCCTGAGCCACCAAAAGGGTTCAGCGAGTCTTGAACACAGTGATTAAGTTCACTTTAATCTATGCATCACTGCACAACACAGCCAATTGCTTGGCTTCCCCAAGAAGTGACATGAGTCACTTGATGTCTTATTGTGGCCTGAGCACGTTTTATTCCAAGCAGGTGCGACTGTTCCTGTATGTGCCTTTGAGGTACCCAGGAAATGAATAATGCTTGTTGTCTGCCTCCTCCAACACCAACTAAATATTGGATCAATGCCTTGCTGTTATAATAACAAGTGAATATTGCTCTAACACTCTTTTTTTTTTTTCCTGGTTCAGTGCCAGGGAGCTAAGTTCCCATTCCTGCTGCTGTTGGGTCACAGCTGAGGGTCCCTGGGATGTGGGACATCTCCATAAGTAACAGGAAGTATATTAACTCATGGGTTCATTGAGAAAATCATTGACAAAGCCACATATGAGTGTGTGCTGGGCAAGCCACCACTGGACTGCCATAGAGGCTAGGGCTAGGGAGGGAAAATTGCCCCCAGCTGTGGCCTGCTCAGCTCTTTTCTTCCAACGTGGGTCACTCCTTGAACTAGGACAGTCTGCAGGTGTGCCCTTGTGCTCAAACACTCAACTCTTAACCCCTGAAAGAAAGAAGTAGAAACAAAGGCCTGTTCGGGCATGTCGGAGATGCAGAAATTGTGGCGGGAAAAGCAGCCGGCCCTTTTCACACGGTGGCTGCCTTACCCTCTCTTACTCCGCTATACCATCTGTTCAACTTAGATAAGACCCTGTACATCTGGATTCCACCCCCCTCCTTCCTTACCACTCTCTGGCTGGGTAACTTTTGGCAAATTGTCGATCCTTTCCGAGCCTGGTTCTCATCCTCACAGAACCATTGTGAACACAAAATGAGGGGCTGAATGGGGACATGTGATAGGCGGATAATGGCCCCAAAAATATCCATGCCCCAATCCGCAGAACCTGTGAAAGTGACAAACGGAGCTCTGCAAATGTGGTGAAGTTAAGGATTTGGGGATGGGAAGATTATCCTAGATCATCCAGGTGGGCCCCATCTACTCAAGGGAGCTTTAGAAGAGAACGGCAGGTGCTCAGAGAGGCAGAAGGCAGTGAGACTACCCAGGCAGAGATGGGGGTGACGTGGCCACAGCTAGGAAATGTAAGCAGGCCCTAGAGCAGGTGTCCCCAAACTACGGCTCGTGGGCCGCATGCGGCCCCCTGAGGCCATTTATCCGGCCCCCCGCTGCACTTCAGGAAGGGGCACCTCTTTCATTGGTGGTCAGTGAGAGGAGCACAGTATGTGGCGGCCCTCCAGCGGTCTGAGGGACGGTGAACTGGCCCCCTGTGTAAAAAGTGTGGGGACGCCTGCCCTAGAGGAACAGACTCTGCTCTAGAGTCTTCAGAAGGCACCAGCCCTGCTGACACCTTGACTTCAGCCCAGTGAAATTGATTTTGGACTTCCAGCCCCCAGAACTGTCAGAGAATAAATGGGTGTTGTTTTAAGCCATCAGGTTTGTGCTTTGTTACAGCAGCTGCAGGAAACGAATGCAGGCTGATTTGTAAAATCCTCCCGTGAAAATGGAAGAATCTCCTGTAATGTAGCCAGAGCCAGGTGAGGCCAAAAGGGGCAGGTGTGCCTGATAAGCCGGCAACGTGTCAGCCTGCAGGTGTTTATTTGCATGAGCTTATTTGCAGGGTGCTGCCTGTGAGGCTGGACTAAGCCTGCTGCCTGACCCTGCCTGTCACCCAGATATGAGCCCAAGCCAAGTGAGGAGAGACTCCATGGACAGAGGTGAAGGAACTGTTTTCCAAAGGACTCTGACAGCTCGTGGGTACAAGCTGTGCTGCTTTGGGGCCCAGATGACAGGTGAGATGTGGAAGTGGGCAGGGACATTTATTCCATTTCTGTTGCACACTTTATGGCATGGCTACAGCCTGG